TTCACTGCCTCTGCTGTGCTTGTATCTGTTTGGATAAATAAACGCCTGAAATCTTCAGGTCTGTAACCTTATAAAAACTTTAATTTTAAAATGTCTTATCTGAAATTAGGGAGGCAGGACTGCTCTGTACATTAGCTGTTTTCCGGTATTAATACAATTTAGTGGGGCCTGAAAAAAATGACTAATATGTATGGTACCACTTGCCCCCAAATAAGTGACTTGTTTTGGAAACAAAAAGATATTTTTCCAGGGTCTTCCTAGCCACAGCAAATGCTTACGCTGGCTGTGTTGTTCCCAACCCCATGCACATGCGATACCTCTTCCCAAAATCAAGCTTCAACACAGTAACACCTGATGCTCAGCTAAAAGCTGCTGCCAGTTCAGTGGTGGTTTTGATGGGATTAAAGCTTGAGCTTTGGAGCTGGAAGTAGAGGGTGAGTGACCTGGACTACACTCTGCCTCTCCTGCATGGGACTTGGAAAGGCAGCACAATCTCTGTCTTTCATTACAGCATCCCTATGCCTTCCTTCTGGCATGGAAATCAGCTTCCATTAGATTAGATAGCTAATTTGGGCAGGAATTCTGCATGTGGTAGGAGAATAAATATGGTAATTGCAAATCTAAAGGATAATTAACTAGTTATTACAGAATTGGGTGTTTCTGTTTAAATACTATTAATCTTTTAGTACCAACATTTTTTTGTGATTATGAAGCTTTTGTTTTTAACAGTGCTGTCTGTTGTCAGTGTTTACCTGATTACAGTAACAGGCAGCCAGTGACTGGATATTTCTGTATCGACATGTCTCACATGGCCATGATATTTTTATTTACTATAAGAGTCATAATTCTTATCGTGTTAGGAAGTGTCATTTTATGTCTGCCTGCTATAAGGCTGAGGTATAACTACATTTAAATGGATAAGACATGTAAAATACCTGCTGTAACCCTAGTACATTTATTAGTAGGTTAAAGTCAGAATTAAGGTAACTGGTCCACAAGTTGACCTTAAAATTGTTTCCCTACCAGAAAAATGAGGGTTGTGGTACTTGGGTTTGTGTTTGTGTGTGGGGAGGGGAGAGGGGTGTTGGTTGTTTTTTTTACATGTATATAAGCATTTTTCCCCGAGCCCTGTGTAATATACAGCCAAAGGAAGAATTCAGCATATTACAATGCCTGCCTGGCAAGTCATCCATTTCTTACAGATTTCAGTAGCATTTACAAGGAAGTAATTATTTTTAGCTGCAAAATGGATATGCTTGTCCTTTAGTGTACCCAGAGGTTAAGTTCAGGTCAGATGCTTGTTCATTTGGGAGCAGGATATTACGTTTTGTTTATCTGGTTTAGGAATTTATCAGTTCTGACCTGCCATGGACTCGAAGGAATCTATTCTGGAAGTGTGTGCAGATCAAAGGGTGTTGCAGTCACCTTGGGAGTCATGAGTTTGTATCACAGTAGAAGTGGTTATATTGTGCAAAGGGTTGCATTCCTGTCAGCAAATCTGACCACTTCTCTCAACATCTGATTCACCTCTTATCACCTGACACACAAACTTTGGACTACTGGAAGAAATGCCATGTCCTTGTGTTTCTTATTTCCACCTTTTATGTGAAAAAACACTAATTTGGATGGAGTTAAAGGCATAGAAAGGAGACAGAGTCTGAGATGGTGGACATAATTAGGACAATTAAAGTTGAGAACAGGCTGGAGATACTTAAATCAGTTGGGATGTATACCTGGCTCTTCTGCAGACTTCTTCTCAGCAAGTTTCTTGAAATCTTTCTTCATATGTGAAATTGGAATAATAATTCTCCTACATAACACGAGTAGCAAGATCAAACATTAATTTGACCATGAGAATCTCTGTTTGATTACACTGGGGCATTCAAGTGCAGAAGTAATGTTTGTTGATACTAGACAACAAATGCTTATATCCTTATTTGGTGAGTGTTGTTGGGGTTCATCCATGTTCTCTAATATGAAGAAACTTAGTCTCTGCCCTCCAGGAGCTGATAGATTAAAGTGGGCAAGCACCCTAGTTTAGATACAGATAATTGGATGCCCAGGGATTGGAAAGTATAAGTTACTTGTGCTACTTATTGTTAAAGGATCTAAATCATACACTTTGATAAGAATAACAAACAGATTTTTCTACCTCCATTGTGAAGATAAAACTATTTTTTTTCCTCCCCAGGTGTGTCGGATTGAATTAGGTTTTCGACCTAATGAAATTCAACATATTGCCCTTAAAATACCCAAGATTTTAACTGCAAACAAAAAGAAATTAACAGAAACATTTGACTATGTCCATAATGTGATGGGCATTCCCCATCACATCCTTACCAACTTCCCTCAGGTGAGATACTTTTTAAATATTAGTTCAAATGAAAATGCTGTTGGCACAGGCAAGGTTATAGTCTTCACTGGGCCAACAGTAAGGTCAGAATTATACAGTTATGTATAGGCTTTTTCAAGTGTTGTGTGGCAGCTTTGTGTTTTTGCTTAAGCTAGAACAATTTTTATCAGCAATCATGCATCAGTGTCCAGTTCGGTGCAGCAACAGGACTAAAAATTCCAGTTTGGGGGTTAATTCAGGGGCGACATATAGGGGGGTGTACACAAGTGCACATGCGCCCCCTGACTGTGGTGGTGCACCCCCTACAAACAGGCACCACTGCTTACCACCCTGCTGCCGGTCTCCAGGCAGTCTGCAATCCCTGCTGGCTGCTGCCCTTGGTCCGTGCTCACCCCTTCCCATCCCCCTGCCAACAGAGCTGGCGGCGGCTGCAGGAGCTCCCCTGCTTACAGCTACTGGGCTCTTGCTGCTGCCACCACACTCCCGCCCCCACTGTGCCCCACCAGCTGCTGGGGGCACAAGTCATTCATGGGTTCATTTAATGCTTTTTTTTTTTTCTCCTCACTCAATCCAGTGAATAAGTTCTTTTGCTGTAGAAAACAAGTCTTCACATTGATCTCTACTGGCTTGATCCACAACATAAATCAATATCTGTTATGGACCCCTTGTTATTTTCCCTCTCCACTGACTTAAAACTTGATGCCTAAATATGAGGAACAGTAGAGTGTTCTTTCTAAATAATTGAAAAAACAGAAAAGTATCCCCTCTTATTTAGCCTTTAGCTCCTTCTTAAAGTGAAGTACTCACAATGTGACCTATCAGCTGATTGTTGGAGCAAAAATCTACAAAAAAAATTTCATTGAAGCATTGCATGAATAGTTAAGACCCTCAATTTAATATTTTTTCCTCTGCTGTCTAGTTTAAATATGTTCATAAAACTTACATGTATTGCCCTTTAATAAAAGTAAACAATATGTTTGAATAATCTCATGCACTGCTGAAATGTGATCACTGTTGACTGGAAAAGAGAAACTTTTTAAAATAAAAGTAATGTGCAGTTTATTAACTACAAGGGAAGTAGTGCAGGAAGGAAGGGACTGTAGTCATGTCACTTAATCTAATATCTCTGTTCTTGAGTAAAAAGTTGTGGGATAATATGGAATAATTACCAAGAAATCAGGACTAAGCACAGGGAATGTTAAGTAAAAACTGGGGAGGTGGCCCTCCTTTAGCTCTGCTTGTGATTTCCCCCTTTCCCCTCCAGTGCCAAAATCTGGTGTGATCTTTCTCCAAAGCTCACCTCTTCATCCTTCTCTGCTCACATTCTATAACACTAAGGCCTATGGCCTCACTGCCTATCTTCCTTGAACTCTGCTGCCTTAGGTACTGTTCATTTCCTTTTTGTTGACCTCATGCACTCTTCATGATGGCATCGTCTCTTGTTTTTCTTCAAAGTGCATTTTTAGCATTTTATTGCATCTCTCTCCATGGTTCTTTGCTCTTAAGAAGCTCCCAGAACTTTCTGCTCTTGGCTCCATCATCTCCTACTGCCTCAAGACTGAGCAGTGGGAGAGGCAGGCAGAATCTCATCCTTTTAAACCTCAGTTCTGGCTTATGGGAAGTCAAGGGGAGAAAAGATAACTTTTAAGAGAACCATCAAATTGTGTGTGTTCCTTGTTGTATAACCACATGATCTCAGTATGCTTATCCTTATTTTAGTCTCTTACTGTCTTTGTGCTTGCTTAGTATCATGTGATATTTAGACCACATTTTTCAATCAGGGAAGACAAGTATTGGTATACTGGAGTGGGCCAGTGGTTAATCTAGTATGGTATTCTGCTCCTGACAAATGTTCCCCCTTTGGAATCCTTACTATAAGATCTGTAATAGGATCTGTATTATAGGACCCCAGTAGTGGCCTAGGTGCACCTCTGAGATCACTTTCAAGGTGCTTTCATACTTTCAGGGGCACCTGTCAGCTCCAACTTCCTCCCTGCCTTCTGCTTCTTACCACTGTAAACCGGCTAAGATGTGTCAGGGGCCAGCTCTTTGGTATATGGTGACTCAGCCTCAATGGTCTCACCCAGACCCTGCCAGTTCTTAGCAGAAGTAATTTTGCCAGCAAGAAGAATCACACCTTTGTCTGCTTATGCACTCAGAAAAGATGGATTTCCATTTCCATAGAATAGGCAAGCCCATATGGTCAAATGCTCTGGAATTGCAGTTAACACTGACAATAAGCAGTAAAAAGACAGCAAAAAGGATCTATTATAAAAAAACAAACAAACAACAATCCTAAGAAATAAGTAACTATATGTTGAGATACAGACTGAAATATAAGAATAAGCAAATGAAAATATCAGAATAACTTATTCTTACCCTGCACCTTAAATTGAAGAATGTAATCCCTAGCCAGATTCAAGAGGTTAAAAAGCAGTTTCTGCCTGTGGTTCCCGTCAGACCCTCCTGCAAAGTTTCCCTTCTGTCCCAGGGAAACTGAAGACAAGATCATGCTTTCGAGGCAAGTTAGCTACGGTTACTTGTCTGGCTACTCACAAGTGTCAGCTCTTGGATTCTTGTGGGGCCAGCATTATGTATATACCTTCATGTCCCATTTCCTGCCCTCTCCCCCCACAAGTTCTTGTTTGCCAAAACAGTAATTTTTCCTCATCTAATTAAGACCAGGAGAGTATGTGCATCCTTTCAGACCTGGAGACTGTCAATCTTAATGATGTTGTGTTTTACTTAATTTGCTCCAACAGTTTGACTAGCCAAATGTTGTTGTTTTTACAGCTTGTTTTGTATGATGCAAATTCACCATTTTTCCGGGGAGACAAAGCTTCATCCATCATGGACAAGCCCCGCCCCCCGATAGCGAGCACTCTGGCTGGTAGTGGGGTATGGAGAGCTCTACTGTGCTGCATGCGGAAGTGCCGGCACTTCTGCCATTGCCGTGCTGCAGGCATGCTCAGCAAGCCTTCCTCCCCCACTGATGCCCCCCAGACTCAGGAGGCACCAGTTGTCCATGGAGGGGAGCAAGGAATGGGGGGGGGGGGGCAGGCTGCCTCCATGCCCTGTGGTTTCATAGTTTCATAGTTGGTAGGGTTGGAAGGGACCTGAGCAGATCATCAAGTCCAACTCCCTGCCATGGTAGCAAAGAGTACTGGGGTCAAATGACCCCAGCAAGGTGTTCATCCAGCCTCCTTTTTAAAGACCTCCAGGGTAGGAGCCAGCACTTCTCTTGGAAGTTGGTTCCAGATCCTAGCTGCCCTGACTGTGAAGTAGCGCCTCGTGATAGTAAAATAGCGTCTCCTCCCTGTGTTACCCCTGCCCTGCCAAATGAGGCATTCTGGCCTGGGGAAGGCACCAGCTCTGGCTTCAGCCCAGACCTGGAGCCAAAGCCGGAACCGGGCTGGTACTCAAATCTAAGATAAGGGGGTTTTTCCCCTTGTTGATTGGGAAATACAGCTCTTTGGATTTGAGTAAATACTGTAATTTGTCTTAGAAGCCACATTGCGCAGTGAAGCAGAGAAGTTTTAATCCTGTCAGAATTCTGTGGTTTTAACCCTGGCTGTTTTAACTATGGATCTTGTTTTCTGTATAAAGTCCCACCCTGTTTTTGAATCCTACAGAGTTCTTTCCCTTGATGATATCTTGTTTGAGTTCCACAAACATATATATTATATAAAGAATGTTTTCTTTTATTAGTTACATTATCTTTACCTGTCAGGTTCATTGCATGTCATATTGATTTTATATATTATGAAAGTGTGCCTGTCCTTCCAGCATTCATTATTTTGTACTGTCATGTCCTCACCCTATTTGTCTCCTTTCCACAGTTTTGCCTTGCTACTAATCATTCTTGGCACTAGCTCTGAACTCCCTTTTATTTTTGCTGTATCCCATTTTATTTTCTAGACCATTTCAGCTTAAATGTTATAGTATTAATTTGTAAAGAGTGCTAGTATATGTGGGGGAGGTAAACGATACACAACTCACCATTCCTAACTCTGTGTTGTCTATGTACAAAACTCTTCAGTGTTACATGTATTTTCTAGTCTCGTGCCTATAAAATTCAGCATCTCTCTTTTTTCTTTTCATAGGTTTTCAATTCAAGTCTCTTAAAAATCAAAGAGAGACACATGTTTCTTACATACTTGGGAAGAGCCCAGTATGACCCAAGACAGCCCAGCTACATCTCTGTAGATAAACTAGTATCTGTGCCCAATGAGGTGTTTTGTACAGAGATTGCCAAAGCCTCAGTACAGGATTTCATGAAATTCTTAAAAACACTTTAATTAGTAACACATGTAAAAATGAATAGAATCATGTTGTGGAATAAATTTGTTTTGGAAAAAAAAATTGCTTTCTTTTTCAGTCTCTCAGCTGTTCACTTACTGTTTTAAAAGTTACTGCTTATCAAATAACTACAGTGCATAAGAAAAAAGACTTAACTCCAGACTAAAGTGGAAAAGGGCGTAAGCACATTCAGTAAGTTATTGATGTAAATCTTGTAATGAAATCATAACATATCTATGATGGATGAAGCAGTCAACTGGGAACATAGAAACTTATAAAGCAGCAGTTACCATGATGTTATTTATGGACTGCACCATACTGTTGTTCATGGGCTGCCCCGGGCACCTCCAACCTTGTCAATTTGAAGTTTGATGAGAAAGCATAGTCACATACAAGAAATGTTGAGGACTGATAGGCCAGAAAGGTGGGAATTGTTTTGTAAAGCATGATAAAATGGAGTCTCTTCTACTTTTTCCTCACAACGACATATTGCAATAGACTGTGAGATTAAAAACTTGATTTGTCTGGAAAAACATAGCTGTACCTTTTGGAACAAGACTGAAAACTCAGACTGTAAGATCTGGAGAACCAATCAGTGAACAGACATGATGTCCCTCCCACTAAAGGGTTTTTCAACATCTTATAAAATCAGCTGACCAGATACCAAATGCTGTTAAGTGCACAAAGTTAACTGAAAAGAAGAGTAGCATATTTTCCTAATCTTCAGTTATAGTGATGTTGGATATTATAATACCAATAGGCAAAATTCAGATAGTCAGTTAAATTGGTGGCACTCAGTTAATTCAGAATTATGAACACTCATTATCTGCTACAAAGACAAGTTGAATGAAGGGTATTAAGGCTGAAGAGTATTAAGTCTCTTATCCCCACTTAGGTTCTATCCCTCTTCTGTTCCATCCCCCCCACCCTCTGTTCCCCAAAAATGTGAAAATAAAGTTGGAAAAGCAAGCACTTCTGGTTGCATGTAATGGAATAACACTGAAGAACTTTGTCAGGTGAATGTAAATTGTAGCGGTCTATCTGTAGACTATGATCATGATATTTGTGAAATTCATCTTGAATAAAAATTATTTTTAAATGAGACAGAAGGTAGGGCAGAATGCCATTTTACTAAGACAGTGTTAATGAAATGGGAGGTCATCATAAACATAAGTATTTCCATGCTGTTTTGACTGTTGGTGTGCTCTTACATGGCTACCAGTTAATAACAAATATTTCTACCTGATAATGGTGAAAAGGCAGTGGCCAGGAGGGATCCCCCACCTCCCACTAGAAACACCCATCTTCCTTCCATCACCTTTGGCCATGTGGCAGAAGGAATATGAAATACTTTCTTAATTGGACTGTCTGACAGAAGGACCTAACACAGCATAACCAACAAGATTTCTGGGCTACTGACACTTTTAAATGGCTTTGACTGGGTGTGGTGTTGCCCCTCTTGTTAACTGTTATATACAAAGCATCAGTCTTGACCAGTGTTAATTCAGGACAACTCAGGTTAAGGGGCTTATCTTGGGCTTTAACCCTATAAAGCAAAGAAATCTGAAATTAGGATTTAAAAGTTTAGGATGTTTTATCTGATTAACACTGATGCTTTTTGGGGGTTCTACGCTTAAGCAAAGAGTGAATTTTCTTGGTTTTCTATGGGAAGCCCCATGGGCTGGATCTGGCTAATAGGCTAGAGGTTGAGCACCCCATTGTAGAATGTCACTGAAAATCTCATAAAGATTTGTCTCCGACTGCAGGATTTATGAAGCTGGAAACTTAGGGGCTGAAAGCCATAGCTATTCCCCCTAGGAAACTACTTTTCAAGAGTGTTGCAAGTGGTCCAACTAGATCACGTCTGCTACTCGGTTGAAACTCCAACAAGCACCAGCTTTGCTGCCATCCCTCCCTAACTGGGCACGATTAAGGCCTGATCCCCTAGCCCACAAGGGTGCCTGCTCCATGCTTGTGTGGCAGGGCAGGAGCCCCGGGGCATGTGGAACAGCCCCCAGCAGCATTGCCAGGTCTTAAATATGAAATCATATTGGAAGCTCAAAATTATCATATCTACTGAAAAGCTATCATACTCTGAAAAATTATGCAAATAAGTCTTAGGGATGTATTTAGTAGCTGTGTTGGTCTGAGACAAGAAATGCAAAAACCTAAAACTCTTGGTTCAGAGATGAGACCTTTTGGTATCGTGCTGGAGCATTTATTTGGAGGCAAGCAAGCAGTCATCTGAAAGCGCTGACAGCAAACCCGGAAGTCAGGTAAGACTGAGAATGACTTGGGCTTTGCATATGAGCTGCTTCAAAAAATATCGCACATTTGAACACTATTATTGATCGTACATGCTACAAGGGTATGAAATTATGGGACAAATACGAGAGTTATCGAACATCTGGCAAAATGGGACCCCAGTACCCTCCTCCAAACGTCCGGCCACAGTCTGCACAGACGCAGCGCCTGCGCCTCCCCGGGCCCTGCACTGCGCATGTCACGCCCCCTTCCCTCCCCAACCGCTGTGGGCTGGACAAGTCTCGCCCCGCCCCCTGAGGCGGCCGACCCTGCCCATGGCGCATGCGCAAGCGCCAGCCACCTGATCGCGCCGCCCGCTTACCAGTGCGGACGTTTTCAGTGTACCCAGTAGGCACCGCGTCTCACTTAAGTCAAGATGGCGGCAAGGGCACCGGGTGAGGCGAAGCGGGGGACGTGACGCAGTACGCTTCCCCGCTGTTGCAGTGGCGCGCGGGGCGCCGGCCTGGGGCCGGGCTGGGAGCGGCTCTGGGAGCGGGGGTCGTGTGGGACTTCTCAGCTGGGTCTGGGGATAACGCCTGGCCTCGTTTTCACGTCGGCTCCTTATTGGCTGTTGCTCTCGGGAGCTACGGGCCAGGAGCGGGGCCCTGGTGCTGCGCTGAAGGGCGGAAGGAGTGGTTCCCAGGGCAGAGGTGGAGCTGCACGTGACTGTGCGTCTTTCGCTCCTTTAACTCCTGT